CAAATGCATTTATATATAAAAGAAATAACACTATCACATTATTCTAAATATTATTACACATAATTAAAAGTAACCATAATATATATATATATATATATAATATATATATATATATATATATATATATATATATATATATATATATATATATATATATATATATACGTTTTATTTACATGCTGTATTTATGTACTTTTTATATGCTATTTTACATACTATTATGCAGTATTTTACAATTTTTTTAATACCAAAGAACATTATACAGGGTCGTCTTCAAATACATTTATAAAGCTTCCCAGATGCTCAGCATCAACAGAGAGAGAACCCAAACAAATGTAAACAATGAAATAATCTCATTCATGCTCCGCGTCATAATGCACTGGAACAGCGCGCTGTGTGCATTGCTGGAAGATGACGTGTCTTCATTCTTTGATCTAGATTCTGGATATCATGGAAATGATGGATCAGAATTTTAAAAAACAAATCTTCAACATACTGGACTAAGTCAGAAGCATTTGGCAATCTGTTTACGGTTTTAAAAGTTGCAAAGTGTAAGCAAACGTAAAAAACTCTTACCTGTTCTGCCAGCCTTGTAGTAAATTGGTGTATTTGTTCAAAACCCCCTCCAAGTGTCTCTTCTGGCTCTGAGACGGATGAGTGTCCGAAACAGCGGCTGATCCCGGACTGTACGAGCCGCTTCTGCTCTGCCTCTGCGCGGGATTCCCCAGATCCGCGGACTTTCCTTTATTGCCCCCCGAATGCGACACGTTCACTATTTTTTCCATGATTATCCCAAAACTCCGGAGCCTGCAGCGTGACGATTCAGTATTCAAAGACGAGTTTTAAAAGCAAGCTGTAAATACTGCTGGAAATTGTCATCGCGTGGAGAGGAGGTGAATGGAGACTACTTTCATTCTTCTCTCGCTGCTTTCTGCCTCGGACTCTTGTTTAATGGGTTTCTGTGTGTTTGCATTGGAATCAGTGTGTGTCACTCCCTCCCGCGCTCCGCCAACAGGAATGGAGCATCACAGAGGAGAGAGAGAGCGTCAATGTGGAGACGATGCTGGAACGCAGAGCCACGCCCCCTCATTAGCATTGTCATCCGCAAAAAGAAAATAAATAAAATAATAAAATAAAATATATAACAAAAAAATATTTAAATTAAAATAATGGTGTAACTGAATATAGAAAATGCCAAAAATCTACTTAAATAAATACAAATACATCAATTAAAGTTGAAATAAATAGCAAAGTTTTACAGAAACAACACAAATTATAAAATAAATAATAAATATTAAATTCAGGACATTTCCTAGTGCTGGGTTGTGGCTGGAAGGACATACACTGTGTAAAATATATGTGGAATAGTAGGCGGTTAATTCCACTGTGGCAACCCCTGATAAATAAGGGACTAAGCCAAATAAAAATGAATGAACTTCACAACAGCACTTTTAGCAAATATACATACAGCTGTGTCTTCAGATTAACATAATTTTTACGTTATTTTTACAGTATTGTTGACGGTCGGGTTTAGGGTTGGGGTAGGGGTAGATATTAATAGCCCGTTTCCACTGACTGGTACAGTACGGTACGGTAACTGCAGATCAATGACAGTGCGAAATCTGTAACATCTGCAATTATATTAAATAAATAAATAAATAAATGCAACACATACAGACCCTTACAGTCTCCGATATGTTATCCGAATGTTACCAATTACAGAAAAACTACACACAGCATACAATTAGTCCTTATTTGGGTTCAAAAACAACACGCAACAAAGCCCAGAGTCAGTGCAAAGCTCCCATCTGTGTCTGTAATCTTCACCAGCACATGTAACCTCTGTTAGAAAGTAATTCTGTCATTCAGAGTTCATAATAGTCCAAAAGGCGATGATAAACATGGCAGTTTGAACGTGATTCAGGTTGCTGAAACTATTTGCTCCAGTGTTTTGTCGGGTTTCTCCTTTGTTTGTTCATGTTTGTCCTTTTCTTTCTGAAAGGATGAGATGACGAAAACACTTCAATAATCACATGCATGTTATTATCATCAGCTCAAGAAGTTTGTTATATCAAATATAGACGCGATCGCGAGCTCCCGGAAGAAAGCGAAAACCGCTCGCACTTTTAGGCGGCCTCGTAAAACAACAAGAGGACACGGCCGATTTTGTTCTTCTTGGCTTTGTGTCTGTACATCAAGACAACGACAAGGTTTGTTTGAGCTCGGGTTATCCATGGCTCGTTATTATATGCATATAGTTTTATGGTGTAAAGTCTCGGCTTTGTATTTAAAACATGGTGGTTCCTTTGGTTTCATTCTGGCTAGTTCCACACGAGCTCGTGACGTATCTCTAACCAAACATCGTTAAGCTGCACGTGTCTGACTTTTGGTACCCTTTTTCATGTTCGGTACGCCTTTTGACAGTGGAAATGGCCATAAAAGAGTACCGTTACTACCGTACCATACCACTCAGTGGATATATATGTATATAAAAAATATTAAATTATGTTGTTAGATTTTATGTATGATGTTAAATTATATATAAAAAATACGATTCATTCATTCATTTTCTTTTCGGCTTAGTCCCTTTATAAATCTGGGATGCCACCGGAATGAACCATCAACTTATCCAGCACATGTTTTATCCAGCGTATGCCCTTCTAGCTGCAACCCATCACTGGGAAACACCCATCCACTCTCATTCACACACATACACTGTGGACTTTGAGGGAAACCGGAGCACCCGGAGGAAACCCATGCGATCACGGGAATAACATACAAACTCGATCGGGCTACCCACTGTGCCACTGTGATGCCGTAATAATAATTATTAATTGTATATTTGTGAAGTAATATACGGTGATGCAATGGCGCAGTAGGTAGTGCTGTCGCCTCACAGCAAGAAGGTTGCTGGTTTGAGCCCCGGCTGGGTCAGTTGGCATCTCTGTGTGGAGTTTGCATGTTCTCCCAGTGTTGGTGTGGGTTTCTTCTGGGTGTTCTGGTAACAAGTCAAAAGACGTGTGCTATAGGTGAATTGGGTAAGCTAAAATGTCCGTAGTGTATGTGTGTGAATAAGTGTGTATGGATGTTTCTCAGTGATGGGTTGCAACTGGAAGGGCACCCGCTGCGTAAAATATATGCTTTTTTTCTAATGATATAAGATAAGTTAATGAAGTTAATTATAATAAAATAAAAAATAAGTATTTGTTTAATATTTCTAAATCTTAAAAAAATATTTTAGTACATCAAAAAGTGTGGTATGAAGACCATACGATAAGCTAATCCAGCCAAAAACAGATATTTACATTAGATGTTGCCTACGCAATTGTTGCCTATTGGAAAGAAAGCGTCAATAGAAACGTCATTTTAGTACAGGGTAGCGCTCCTTTGAAATGAATGTGGGACCAAGGTGTAGCGGAGGACTGTGGCCATCCATAGCCAGAGATACACATACATACGTATATCTATGATCGGGAATTTTCCCAGTGGTCACTACACAAATATTTTTTTAATATAAGAAAATTAAATGTAGCGTAGGCCAGTTAGTGAAGTGCTGTGCAGGTACATCTCACTCGTCTGACCTCTAAAAGGTGCCCTAGCAACAGACGCTAGAGGCCATGGTCTCCTTGTTAGAGCAACCGACTCCCATGTGGAAGGTCACCAGTTCTATCCCAGCTCAGAGCAGGTTGGGTGGTGTAGGACCAGCGGGTTTACTTATAATTTTACATTCCTTTTCTACATCGATGGATAAGTGACCACACGACATTGCCGACAAAGACCACATGTTTGTGTGCATGGAAATGTACTATCCTCCCTACCTGTGAAATGTTATCTAATATGTCCTGAAACACACCCCCTCTCCATAGAGGTAACTTGGTTTTATATTTACACATTTGTTCAGTGACAACTCCCTATATTGTTTACCACCGCACTTTAAATGTTCGGTCTGAAATAACCTGCAAGTGTGACTTGAAAACAACATTAATACTGGTTATTTTACAGTGCACAATGTTGTACTTTAATAGTCATAGGCTGCTAATATGATTTCACTATTTAGAGTTTGCAATGGATACTTTTGTGAAATGATTATTAAGGGGAAAGTCCGAATGTGCAAATATAAAACCAACTTTACCTCTATCCCCTCTCCTGCTTTCACTTCTCATTCTAAAAGAGGGAGCAATTTGTTTGTGAATGAATCCCTGTTATGATCGACTTATTCACTAAATGAATCAGCCGACAATAATGTATGTTTCTGGCACATGTCCTGATGTCACATTTCATGCACATTGTTTGCCTTTTTTATTCAACGAAACTAGCTAAAGCCTATAATTTAGTGCAAGTTGGTGCTACTTTGCCTCATGCAGGTGAATGCAGTAAATGACTGTATTATCATCAATAACGTTACTTGTTTAGTAGGCCTACTAAAGTTCATAACATAAAAAAATATAAAAAAAAATTTTTACCTATGAAATGTTATGCCTTTGTGCTTTGTTTTCTTTGCTCGTTACTACACCCGTACACAGCGCTAAAGTTACTTACTACTTTTACTTTACTTCACCTGTACACACCTAAAGTATTTAGCCTTGACTAGTGCAGTTGAATGCGGTTGTCCTGGGAGCACTGTATAAATGTGGCGGCGCTATTGAAGCATGCCCAGAGTCTGTATGCGATATCTAGTGTATATATTTGTAAGCCTAAAATAGTGCTAAAATGCCTCTAAATCCAAAATTTAAATCTCACAATTAAACAGAAAATTAATAACTGCAAAAAAGGTTTACTTTTTGGGAAAAAGAACCAGCCCTTTCACTAGGCTGGCAACGGGATTGATTAATAAACCGAATCAAATGATCGCCAGGTCTTTTAGCAGCGCAACCGCGTTTTAGACATCAAAAAGAAAAGAAAAAAATGTGGAGACTAGAGTGTAAAAACTACATCTCCCAGAATTCCCGGCTGTCGTCGATGACGCAGTCAAAAGTGGACCAACACGTTCCCTCCTACTGAAAAAAACTGCTCGACTTTGTAGTATTATTACCTATATTGTTTACTTAAAACATTTATCAACTAACTTAGTTGTTTGCAAACGTGGTTATGGCTGCTCCGCTGAAAGTATGCATTGTCGGTTCCGGTAACTGGTGAGTATGAACGACTAATGATTACATATATGGTCAAAATGTGATTGGTAATGAGATTAATATACAGAACATATGGCGTGGACCAACTGTTATAGCTCAGAGTCAAACAGTACTTGCTTAAGGTACAGCACAAGTTTAATTTCCTGTACAAAACGGCAGTTGCAGCGAGATGATGTTAGGGAGAGATGATCCATATGTTAGGAATTATTACTAACGTTACTACTCTGGGCAAAATTAAGTGATTAATAATGACTCACAATGACTCCATTAATATTGGCATTTTTGGTCAGTGTCAGCAAAGAAGACTGAGAAAAAAATGCATTTGTCGTTTAACCTTTAAATTATTTGCTTAAAACATTACAGTGATAAACAACAGAAGATTGATAAAGATTGGATGAGAGTAAAGGCTTTTTCTTGAAACCGTTTCAAGCTGTTTGTGGTGATCTAGCCGTTGTCGGGTTGAATATTTTCTTTTTTTTCCCCAAAGCCCAGCTAACTTCTGAAATACTCTATTCATGAATGATTATTTGAGATTTTTTATTTTTTTTTGGCCACTTGAACTGTCCTCCTAGACCAAACTCGGTCTTAGCGGGCCAGTGTCCTGCAAAGTTTAGTTCCAACCCCAATCAAACACGCCTGGGCTAGCTAATCAAGCTCTTTATAGAACATAGGTCTCATACTCAATTACTGGAGGGCCGCAGCTATGTGCAGTTTTGCTCCAACCCAAACCAAACACGGCTGATTCAACTAATCAAGGTGTTTAAGACTACTAGAGACTATTAAGTAAGTGTGAGTTGGAGGTGGTTGAAGCTAAAGTATGCAAAGCTACGGCCCTCCAGGTATTGAGACCACTGTTCTAAAAACATCTAAGGTTTGTTGAGGACAACGGTCTCCTGACATTTTTTCCTACCCATCAGATTATGCTACCAACACTGTATTTGAATGGTTCTGAGGTTGTAGTTCAGTATTAGGTTGGTTAAGGCGATAATATCACACTTCTCCACATTAAAATTTACACTGGTAGCAAAATCTGATGAGTAGCATATTGCGTCATCAAAATGTGCTACTTACTTTTTGAATGGGAGGTAGGACAACATGACAAGGTAGGAAAAATCAATATAACACGTAGATAAGAATCTCATATCCTTATTACAACAATATATATCATGATATAGTAAATTCAATTAATTAATACTTTTATATATTGACCACAATGCAAGGCCTTGTCATTTTTTACTTTTTAAAGTATATACTCAGACATTGACCCATTAAAATGTGATCATATTTCGCACTTTATTTAGAACTTCAGGACAAATATTTAATTACAGAATTGCATACTGCATAATAAAGCTGCAATTTTTATTTATTGTTTGTTCATTATTAGATACAAAACTCTTTGTAATGCCTTAAGTGTGTGTGACATTTATTTCTAAACATTTTCAGCAAATTTTAACAAAAACAATTGTGATTTTGATAACCGTGATCATTTTGGTCTCTATAATCCTAATATGCATTATTTAAACTGATAAAGCTGCGCTAAAAAATGATTTCTGCAAAATTGATGCAAACAATTTACATGTGTTGAATTTTACGGACACCCGCAAGAGACATGATGGTGGGTAAAAAATTGGGTGGAAGGGAAAATAATAAATGGGACAAAAACAGTAATAGGAAAATATTTATATTTTTAATTTTTGCATTCCCTAGCAAAAATGTTCACTGATTCAGAGGTTGCATATCCCTTCCTATGCAATGTAACTTCTGATTCAGTGAAGGCATGTATAAGCACTGACTGATGGACACGCTCCGTATGATAAACTGATCACAGACCAGCTTATGTACACACCATTTAAAGTAACACCTCTGTTATCAAACAAGTTAAGAGCAGCACATGAATCTCTCGTTTTGTTTTGTTTGATAACAGAGGTGTCACCTTAAGAATGCACAGATCTATAATGAAAGCATTCCATTACTTTAGTAACTGTTTGTGCTCATTTAAGAGAAAGTTAGTTGTGTTTAAAAGAAAGCAGGCAGGACAGACACGTTTACATATTATTAATTGTATTTGTCTGTTTAAAAACCTACGTGGGTGTACAGAAGCTGTTTTGGGATTAGTTTATCATATGGAGCGCGTCCGTCAGTCAGTGCTTATACATGCATTCACTGATTCAGAGGTTGTATAGCAAGGGCGACGATTGATGAACAGCTTATGAATGGAAAGTGAACGCAGACATTTTTATATTAATTTCAAAGTGTTTTCAAGATTAAAAATATGGGAGAAATATGGGAAATTACTTAATGATAGGATGATAGCAGGATAGAATACAGGTAAAATACGGGAGCATCCTGGCAGAAACGGGAGGGAACAGGAAGTGTTTGTGGAACATCTTTTTCTCCTACCTAGTTTTTTTTCTTCCACCCATTTTCCCCACCATCATGTCCCTTCCGTGTCTCCTTAGATTTCAAACAAACAAACAAATTCAATTTAGTAATGTTCAAACTATTTTTTTTGTTTGTTTAATTTAACCCAAAAGAACTTGTTTACAACCAATTACCTTTAAATGTTTTTGTAAATCATAGAAATCAGCTTTGCATAATTTTTTTCAGTGTGTGTTATGTTTGCATTAGTTTTGTTTTTTAACGAAAGCAATCTGTTGTTGTTAATTGTATGAGTCTTTGCTCATATCTTCCAAGAGTCCCAGTGTTAGCGAAGAGCACTGTAACAGCACTGGTTCGAAGTTCTGCATAACGCTCATTTGACTGCAGCTGGCAGAGCAGCTTCTCTGGGTTGTAAACCCTGCTGGAAATCTTTTGGTGAACTGCTGTTTAACAACAGTCTGGCATTTTGATTAAAGATACTGTTGTGTTTTCTTCTGCCAAGGGGCTCTGCGATTGCGAGAATTATTGGCAGCAATGCACAGAAACTCCAGTGCTTTGCCACCACAGTCAAGATGTGGGTGTATGAAGAAATGGTCAATGGCAAAAAGCTCTCCGAGATCATCAACACAGAGCATGAGAACGTCAAGTACCTGCCAGGATACAAACTCCCAGAGAATGTGGTAAGACAAAGAAAGTCTGATTTTAAACAAATACTATATATGATTATGTAAAATTGTGTATATGTAAAGATAAAATATGTTAATATACACTACTAGTTAAATGTAGCGCTGTGCAATTTATAGTTTCAGCATCGATATCAAAATGTATGTATCTGCAATCTGAGTTTCTATTGGTGTCCTTCTCTTTTTTTTTTTTTTTAAATGAAGCGGTATTACTCGCCTTAGCCTTACTTTTCCACGCACCTATTTGAATGCTCATTTTGGATATGCGCATAAAAAACAATTGATGGAGACATCACGATGCACGTAACGTTTGAAAATAAGCATAAAAGCGTGCATAACTGAGTAGGATAAACTTTTATTCGATAGAAAAGATGCGCCTAAACTAATATGGACACATTTTTACTGAACAAATTCCAGTATGTGCGTTAAAAAAATGTTTAAGTGATCATATGTTGATGAAAATGTGTGTGAATGGACAGACCAGCAGGCATCTTAAATGTTGTTTTGGTCATTCCAAATTCCGGCTTAACCGTTTCAGTATTAATATTATTATAATATTAATGACCTCCCGAGCGTCTGGAGCATGTCAAGAGCGTCTGTTCTCAGCGTCTCATGGCTTTAAACGCCACCACACATATATTGTGTGTCAGCATTGTCCTCTGAGGCGCAAGTACATTTATTAAATGAAGAAAAGATTGACACAGCTTCCCTACCAGTAAAGACTGTTTTTACTGTTGATATTTAGTGCCCTTTTAATCAGGAAGTGACAATTTTGTTCTCTTTGATTCATTAGATGGAAACTCTGCTTTATTTGCATGTCTTTTATGCGTTATTCCAGTTTTGCACGTAAATTTAATTAACATATTTGGAAGGAAACATAACTATTGCCTACATTTCAGTCACACAAAGAACAAAGTCACGTACGAGAATGGCTTGTCCTTTGCATGAGCAGATTAGGTTAGCTGGAGAAAGAAATGCTGATCTCTTTTTTTCAGTTGTTGCCAGGGTCACTCGTAATATCTGTGCTCCATTGATAATGCCTTTTTATAGTTGCTGTGTGCGCGCTTAACTCTGAGTTGCTCTACTCAAAGTTGATTGACCCAACTCAGATCAGCTATTCTAAAACGGAAAAGTAAGAGTTTTTAATCCCTCAGTAAATCAACTCAGAGTTCAAGTTTAAACTCTGAGTTAGTTGAACCTTCCTTACTCAAACAGGCCCCTGGAGCCATTGCTGAACACACACATGATTTGTGGAGCAATTTAAAAGTTTAGCAGTTACTAAAAAGTTTGTGATTTGCATGTGTTTTAAGGTCTGTGACTGTGTGAGCATTTCACACCAGTTTAAAGCATTCAGGCACATGAAATGGTAATCTTACTTTGTTACTTGTAGAAAGATGATTAGTGTGTATGTATATATACATTTAAGACTATGCAGTTTTATTTTAGATTTGATCATTAAAGCCACATAGCAGAGTTTATTTTATTTGTAATTATATTGCTGTTCTGTTTTTATCAACGCTTTTGATTGGTTAAAAAAACTGTATGCAGATTCATCCTCCTATAATATCTAAAATTATGAATTTTTTCTATATGCACTACCTGACAAAAGTCTTGTCGTTGATCCCAGTTGTAAGAGCAACAAATAATTACTTGACTTTAAGTAGATAATCTGAAAAAGTGGCAGAAGGGAGATTTTTTTTCCGGTCAATCATCTGCTGAACTGCATCCCAATCATCACAAATACTGCAGAAGACCTATTGGAACCCGCATGACCCAAGATTCTCATAGGAATTATGGTTTGGGGTTATATTCAGTATGGAGGCATGCAAGAGATCTGCAAATTGCAACATCAACAGCCTGAGGTATCAAGACATTTGTGCTGCCTTTTACATTACAAACCACTGGAGAGGGCAAATTCTTCAGCAGGATAGCGCTACTCTTACTTCATCCTCCACATCAAAGTTCCTGAAAGCAAAACAGTTCAAGGTGCTCCTGGATTGGCCAGCCTAATCACCAGACTTAAACATTATTGAGCATGTCTGTGGTATGAAGGAGGAGGCATTGAGGATGAATCCAGAGCACCATAATGAACTCTGGGAGTCCTGCAAGAACATTTTCTTTGCCATTCATGACTTTATTAAAGTTATTTTTGTCATTGCAGAGATGTATGGATGCAGTCCTCCAATCTCATGGGAGTCAAACACGATGTTAACTCTTTTTCCACTGCACCATGACTTTATATTCTTACTGTACATTATTTCAGTTAAGTGACAAGACTTTTGTCTAAGCAAAGTCAGACCTTACTGTCCTAATTAAATAATTAAAAATCGAGACATGATCATATTTTATTTTGGAAAAATAAGCGTAATCTAGTCTAGTCTTCTTGAAGGTATTCTGTTTATTTAGATCTGTGTTTGTTCTGTAGGTTGCAGTGCCACAGCTTCGGGACGCCGCAGACGGTGCAGATCTTTTGGTTTTTGTGGTTCCTCACCAGTTCATCCGGAAACTGTGCGATGAGATGATGGGCTGTGTTTCAGAGAGGGCTCGTGGAATTACTCTAATCAAAGTAAGATTGTCTTGGATTGTACAGAACAGAAACTGAAGTGCACATTTGAAGTCTACTTAAAACCTGAGCTAAAAAAATTATAGTTTTCAGTATTATGACCTGTGCAGAGTCCTGGGGTCCGTTCTTTGTACCTCGCTAAAATGATCTAAGAGGATTTGGCAGATCCTGGATGTTTTAATCTTGATAACTGATCTCTCGCTAATTTGGTTCTTTAAACAAGTTCGCGAATCAGATTAAAATGTCTGGATGAACTGATCTGAGATCGCTGCGTGTGTTGTGAAGGACAAATCTATTAATCCAGCAACGTAATGACATCATCTGATTAATATTCAATCATCCATGCGAGCAAAATTACATCAAATTAGCAGTAAACGGCTTGTTAAATATGACACGCAATAACTTTCCACATTTGTTGTGGGCTGCAGACTTTACACTTTCATGTGTCAAGAGTATTCATCCTGTATTTTAATGCATATCAATGTATTTAGTTCTACATTTAGTGAAGATTTTCCTTATTATAGTAGCCTAGGCCTACTCGTTTTTTAATCAGCGTAAGGAATAACTGTATAAATTAATTTTGCATCAAAAAAGCATTTTGATATCGGTAAAGGTATCAATCACTGGCATATTAGTGTTCAAAACATGTGCATTACTGCTTAAATTATTAAATTTTTTTTTTTTAAGTCGAATATAGTGCTGTACGCGTTTGCATCTAAAAAGTTCATATCAATACTTTTCACTTTGAACCACCAGGTGGCAATCTTTTACTTATTTCGGAGTGCAGATTGCATAAGTTTTATTAATATATATATATATTTACTTTATATATATATATATATATATATATATATATATATATATATATATATATATATATTTACTATTTTTCCAAGTGTATATAATTACTGTAAGAAATGATCAGCATTCTGTACGTACTTTCAGTATTATCTTTGCTTGAACTGAACCGATCTAATCCTGTTTATATGAAATGGACCTGCTCCTACGCAGGTTTGATCTAGCAGAACTGTTACTATGACAACAAGTTTCAGATGAGTTTTGAAGAACGAAACGATCCTGGATCGTGTCAAATCGTCAACATCCAAATCCAGCTAATTGAGTAATCATCGTACGAAGAATGGGCCCCTAGTAGATAAAAAAGGGCTGAAATGACAGCTACACTGGGATTTCCATAGAAATGCAGCACAAACCGGTCATATTTCATCTATTTCAAGCTACGGAATATTTGGATCACATATCAACAGAACAGAACCGAGATATGATCACAAACAGTAAAATGTGGGCACCTGCATTTAAAGCCGTCATGTTCCTGTCAGAGCTCAAATTCTTACATCTAGCTTTATCTTTTGGATATCTCTCAGCGATTTAATCATTAGTGACAGCATTATAACAGGTAGATGTTTGCTTTTATATTAGGTGTCGGCAGTGTTGGGCAGTAGCGTCGCTACAAGTAGTGATGCTACTAGCTTAACTACATTTCTTAGTAGCGTGGCTGTAGCGCCACTACTTTTTAAATCAAATAGCTTTTCAGTAGCGAAGCTATTTTATTAGCCAAGTACAGCAGTAGCGTCCACACAAGCTACAGTTACCGATCGTGGATCAATAAGTGACGGCACCGACATTCACTGAGCTGTGAGGCTGGTGTCTAGCTGATGGAAGTAAATCCATATGATAGGGAGAAGGATGATTTCTTATTCTTTTTGTTTTACTGTGTTCAACAACAAACTTTTTGGTGCGTTACTGCCACCTCTGGTAAAACTTGCTTGATGGAAAGATGACTGAGGTAGAGTAGTTATTTCTGAAGCAGGATTCCTTGTGACCATACTTCGAGAAGTACATGTGTTAAGATGCAATAACTTAATTTCTGATGCTGTGCTCAAAAAATAAAAATACTTATATATATATAACATATAACTTATATAGAGTATATAAAACACTATAATGCTTATTACAATATATATATATATGTGTGTGTGTGTGTGTGTGTGTGTGTGTGTGTGTGTGTGTGTGTGTGTGTGTGTGTGTGTGTGTGTGTGTGTGTGTGTGTGTGTGTGTGTGTGTGTGTGTGTGTGTGTGTGTGTGTGTGTGTGTGTATGTATGTATGTATGTGTATATATATATATATATATATATATATATATATATATATATATATATATATATATATATATATATATATATATATTATCAAAAATATTTCCCTTTACTATAAATGACTATAGTATTTTAAGTGTGTAACAACTGGTTTTATTAAATTTTTTGTTTTAGCTGTTATATATTATAATGTGTTTCTGTTTAGTGCTGCATATTATTTACAGTAAATAACTGAACTGAACTATTATGCCTCATATGTTTTATTGATCACTAAGATAGGATTGTCTTGGATTTGAGTTGCTTCGATTTAAAAATGAAAATTGTAAAAATAGCTTAGATGTAGCTAAGCTGCTTTTGCCATGTAGCTTTTAGCTTAGCTTGCTACATTTCTCAGGGGGTAGCTTTAGTGTCGTTAAACTACATTTTAAGTAGAGTAGCTAATAGTAATAATTAGCTCACTACATTTGTCAACTAGCTTGCCCAACACTGGGTGTCGGTTTCTTTTACATAGATTAATATTTGCTGGTAGGGAAAATCTATTCATTCACTTCTGCTGTTTATATTTAGACTTTGCATTTTATGGTATACTTTAATTGCACTTGACATGCAAATTAGATTAGAAACTGTATAAAAAGGATACAAATGTAATGGCAGTTATAGGATTATGGATTGTTATGGGTTAATGATGCAACCATTTGGCAAAAATTCATAGATTTCTGCTTTAATGTTATATGTTATAATGTTATAATGCTGTCACTGCATTTTTCATCAAGGAATTCTGTTGAAGCACAGCTCAAATGTGTCCCCATTTTGTTTAGTAACTCTAAACCTTATTGCACAACAATTAATCCATTTTGGGGGGTAAAAAAAAGAGAAATTACTCAGCCTGTGACTTGGTAATGTTTTGCCTGCCAGGGGGGGAATTCTCCTAATGGTGCGACGACATGTGAAAACTATCAGTAGATGATTTTCAAATGTTAAAAATATTGAAGACTACAGATATAAGGACAGTTTGAGCTCATTTTCAATATTATAATCCTTTGAATGCACATACTAGGCTGTGAGATGAGTCACATCTCACATACTTCTGTGAACATTTTTGTAAAATAAAATGTGTCATTGTCATGTCATTTTCATCCGCTTATCCGGGGCCTGTTCGCTGAGGCAGCAGTCTTAGGAGAGAACTCCAGACTTCCCTCTCCACGGACACTTCCTCCAGCTCCTCCGGGGGGAACCCCAAGGCGTTCACAGGCCAGCCGAGAGACATAGTCCGTCCAGTGTGTCTTGGGTCTTTCCCAGGCCTCCTCTCGGTGGGACATGCCTGAAACACCTCCCTAGGTAGGCGTCCTGGAGGCATGCGAAACAAATGCCTGAGCCACCTCAGCTGACTTCTCTCGATGTGGAGGAGCAGCGGCTCTACTCTGAGCTCCTCCTGGGTGACAGGGGCTCCTCACCCTGTCTATAAGGGTGCGCCCTGTCACCCTGCGAAGGATACTCATTTGGCCTCTTTTATCCGAGATCTTGACCTAAAGCTCATGATCATAGGTGAGAGTAGGAACGTAGATTGACTGGTAAATCGAGAGCTTTGTCTTTCGGCTTAGCTCCTTCACCACAACGGACCGATATATTGACCACATTACTGTTGCTGCTGACGCTGTGCCACTGCACTGATCCGCCTGTTAATCTCACGATCTATCCTTCCCTCACTCGTGAACAAAATCCCAAGATACTTGAATTCCTTCACCTGGGGTAAGGACTTTCCCCCAACCTGGAGGTGCCAAACCACCTTTTTCCAGTGGAGTACCATGGCCTCAGAGATGGAGGTGCTGATTCTCATCCCATCCCATCTCATCCCATCATCATCTGCTAATACCCAAGATGAAATCCTGTGGTCCCCGAACCGGATCACCTTCAGCCCAAGGCTGCACTTTGAAATTAAGAATAGAATTGGTGACAAAGGGCAGCCCTGCCAGAGTCCAACATGTACTGGAAACAAGTCTGACTTATTGCCGGCAATGCGAACCAAACTCCTACACTGTTCATACAAGGACGAGGCAGCCCTTAACAAAGCGCCTCTGACCCCATACTGGTGAGGAGGATCCGGACGATGGTTAAACCTAGGATCCAGGAGGAGCAATGTGGTTTTCAGCTGGGCCGTGGCGCACTGTAAAATAAAATAATAATAAAAATTAAGAAGCACTTACATGATGAACCAATAAAATGAAAACAGTAATAATGAATACCAGAAAGCAGTATATATTAATATCTATTGATACCAAGTGAAACAATTGCCTAAATAACTAAAAATGGTTATTTTTAATAGTTAAGGGTTAAAAAAAAACTTGGTTACTGTATATCTGGCTACTTTTGATTTAACATCCAAGTTTTGGAACATCCTCTTGCATTTGAACAGGACGTTCAGGACTGAGAGGTCTTATACTTGATGTCTTTTTAAAAGCTGAGCACAGTGCACCATATGTGGAGTGACTCATGGGTAAAAAAGGGCCCTCTGGCCTGCTGGCAAACTCTTTGTGTGCAATTTATCTCCTGGTGCCAGTTTGTCTCCTCCGTTACTGACTGTACAACACAGCACTTCTTCTCCGTAGATATATCTCATCAAATTATATGCGTCTTCTCCATTCCACTATTCAAAAAGCAGAGTCTTGTTTTGATTTCTCACTTTGTTCTGTGTTTTATTAAAAGATGTGCTTTGCCTGATTTTCGCCGTTTCTTTTATGCTTATTCCACCTGCTTTATTATTTTTGTTCTGCTTTGGTGTTTCTCCTCATTTTGTGAGTCATTAGGCAAAGATGGTCCTCCAAACAGCTGTGCTCCAGAGTTATATCTGCTGAAGGGGGAAATGATGTGATGCTACATTAAAAAGAGCATGGGGTTTTGATGGACTGCTCCTTTTTTCTTTTGTTATGCAGGGCATTGATGAAGGACCAGAAGGACTGAAGCTCATCTCGGACATCATTCGGGAGAAAATGGGCATCGATGTCAGTGTCCTAATGGGGGCCAATATTGCAAACGAAGTAGCAGCTGAAAAGTTCTGTGAAAGCACCATTGGTGAGTGTTAAAGAAAGTTTAGTGTTTTTAACAACTCCCCTAGAGTTAAAGCATTGAGTTTTACCATTTTTGAAAAATTCAGCCAATCTCCAGGGGCCTCATGTATCAACGCTGCGTACGCACAAAAACTTTGCGTACGCCAGGTTTCACGCTCAGAATCGCTCACGTTTGGATTTACTAACAATGAACTGAACGTGGGAATGTGCGCAGCTTCACGGCAGCTTTCTGGCTGGCGTACGCACATTTTTTGTGCGTGTCTGTTTTGTTTCCATTGGCGACTCCTAGAGGCAGTTGTGTTAAATTCCTCTCTACAAAGTGTCTGAGCCTTGCAATGGCAGCTGTATGAGACGGGTTCAGCAGGTATATAAGGTTTCCATACCATACATTTGACCAGCTAAACATTAAAGCACAATTTTCAGCAGTCGCCTGTTTTCCCAATGTAATCTGAGCCATCTATCGCACGCACATTGCTATAAAGACACTATCTGAAGATGAATTTGCATGCGTGAATCAGAAACATTTCCATTCAATAAATGTGCAAATAAAATATGATGCTTATTGATATGAACTTATTGATGATTCCTACTTGTCTTTCTCGTGATAAATAGTGGGCAAAATCTGATATGTAGCGGGGGAAAAAAGAAGAAAGAGTTCATCAGACGCTGGATTCGAGCCGAGTTTATGCTCGAACATGTCAGTACATGATCTCATGCTTCTTAAGAGGTGCGCCACTGAGACTGCTAAGGGTACTGCAACATTTTTCAATTATAAACCACACTATTTCTATTTTTAATGCACTCAGTGCGATGTTCAGACCCAACTGTGTTAACCGCATCAGCTAAACTCTCCCACTCTATTTTTTTCTTTTGTTGTTAATTCCGGAGAACAAACTTGCAAATAACACCGCTTTTCTCCGGTCTACCTCCGAAAGCAGCACCTCCAATTCACATTCTGTTCAAAGTTTCTCTTTTTGCTTGATTTTGCCATTGCTTTTTCGTTGGGTTTTGCCATTAGCATAGTCATTAGCATATTCATACGGGGGAGGAGGCAGGGAGGGGTTTTGTGCTCGTGCATGTTGCGCTCAGTTTCACGTTCATTTGGATGTACAAAAGAATATGCGTGAGATTCGGCGTACGCAGTGTTTCATACATCTGAATTTTTTTCTGCGTACACACATTTACAGCTTTGTGCGTACGCAATGTTTTAGTAATATTTCCACGCAAGTCTTCGTACATGAGGCCCCAGGTCTGGGGGGAGCACATTTAGCTTAGCATAGATCATTAAATCAGTTTTTATTGATTCAGTTTTTTATTAATTCAGTTTTTTTTTTTTTTTAAATCCATTCAGCTGAACTTTGGGTCTAGCTGAAGCACTTGTAGCTTAGCTTAGCATAGATCATTGAATTGGATTAGACTATTAGGATCTGGCTCAAAAAAAAAGTTTAAAACCTTAAAAATCAACCAAAACTCAAAAATAGTGTTTAAGTATTACCTAACCCATCTGACTAACGAATAGTTAAAAGGCATTTTTTTTTTTTGGAAATTAGCTTGGCTTAGCATAGGTTGTTGAATCGGATAAGACCATTAACATCTGGCTCAGAAATGTATATGAAAGCTTTGATAATTTTCCTATTTAAGCTTGAATCTTCTGTAGTTACATCATGTACTAAGACTAGGGTCAGGCAAATTCTGCTGACATTTAGTATCATAACTAAAAACTTGAATGGAGAAAAAAAAAAAAGAGTATTTTATTATTATTTAATGTTTATGATGCAAATCCAATTAGAATTGATAAATAAAGCAAGTCTCTCCTGATTATATATCTACAAAAAGACCAAAAATACCACTTTACAAACTGTATCATAATTGAATCACATTTCCATATCAGTCAAAAATATTCCTTAAATTAAAAACTGAATAAATATAAATTTACACAAGTAAATAAATAGATAGACTCAGTGATGAGCTAAAAATATATGAATTTCTGTGCACGCAGATTTTGTGTGGACCTAACAAAGGGTTGTTGCTAGATCGGATATGGTTGGGGCCAGAATTTAATTATTTATATTTTTTATTAAATTTCCTATTTATTGTATTTTATTAACGTCTACCCCCACCCCAACCCTAAACCCAACCGTCACAGTAATGTAAAAACAGTAGTTGTACCAAGTATTATTAGTTATTTAAAAAAAATAAAATAAACATAAAATATATTTGTTATCTATTAAATTACCTAATAAATTGTATTTTTAACGCCTAACCCTAAACGTCACACTACTGTAAAAATATTCTTCATTGCTGTACAGTGTCATAAAAAAAGCTGCTATATTAATGTGCATATCGCACTTCCGTCCGGCCGCATATCCGATTTAGACTTTACCCTAACAAAGACCAACAAAAAAGAAAAGCTGCCCTAAACTTACACCACCAATTAGAATGTAATATCTAGAATCTATTGTAATATCATTGCTTCTGCTGCAGCCATGGTACAGCAGCAAAGTTTCTTGATTATTACGATTAATGATCATAATTTTTGTATTTCAGTTAGTTTGTTTGTCTGTAGCTGCTGTTGCTTTGTTTTAGTTTTTTAATCATTTAGGCTTTTTTTTTATTAAGTAAAGTGATTTTTGACCAGGAGTATTAGCTGTAGGTTTAGGTTTTATTCACTAAAATAATCTTGTTTCTCACACAGCAAAAAAAAATTGATGTTTAATGTTTAAGCTTCTTTGAGCAGTTGAACACAAATGAGCATTGAATATCAGTATTAACATTAATAAAATCTATTCATCTATGAAGTGGTTTTGTCTCTTCAGAAACACAGAGACATAACAGAGACAAATCCTCACATTTCATAAAAAATATCTTCATTTATATTCAGAAGATGAATAAAAGTCATGAGATGACCACAATAAAAATGATAACCGCGGGCAATCTCAGCAAATGTTTTCTTCGATCTGCAGGCAGCAAAGTGTTGGAGAACGGCCTCTTGTTCAAAGATCTCCTGCAGACGCCTAACTTCAGGATCACTGTGGTGGATGATGCTGACACAGTGGAGCTCTGTGGAGCCCTCAAGGTAAATATCAGTCTTGTCTTGCTGCTCATCCCAGGGGAAATTTCTTGATTCAGGCACCTGAGATGCAGGGCTTCGAGGGCACGACTCAGACCTCTGTGTAAAGAACAGCTTGTGCTGGTGAATTTACAATTAGGTGCTGCTAGGCTGATGTTTTTCTCCTAAATATGTTGTAAAAAGCATTGTAATATTGGCAAGCTTTGACAAATAGTATTGGTTACTGGGATAAGATTTGCTATCATTCACTCAACCTTTATGTGGACTTTCTGTGAGACATAAAACCAAAACTGCTAGGTTACCAAAATGATTAAAAATACATATTAATAAAGTTTATATATTTATAAAAATCTAGTTTTTGTAAATTAACTCTTTATTTTATTAACTCTTTTACTCTATATGTGTATATATGTTTGTATTTGTAATTTTTTTATCATTACAAAAATTTATTGCAATTGATTGTATTGCAATCTAACAAAGCTAACGTCCTTGATTTTTGAAGGAATATATAAGATTGAAGTATTGGAGTATTGGCAACTAAAAAATAAGTATTTACCTTTACAGGAATATATGACGCATTAATATAGAAAACATTACAGTAATAATGTACTACTGTGTTGACTGTGTTTTAACTCAAGTAAAGCATACAACATCTTACCAAAATTTGTACCAAACATAAAACTCTTACTTACATCTTACTAACTTCTACTACTAAAACAAAGGTCCCCAAGCTTTTTGGTCAACACTTAACACTTTTACCATCGGGTGGGGGGTGTTGGGAATATGTAGATTGCTAGGTGACCACTGTTTTTTCAGAGTATGGCAAGCTGACAAAACATTGCTGCAACTCTGATACAAGCTTTATTTATGGAGAAAATTGAAAAGCAATGCAGTGTTTGGGTGTTCTGTGTTTGTCTGAGATAATTAGTCTACCGAAATGTGTATATTCCATAAAAAAAGTATGAAGGTGATCGATCAGTTATTGTCATGTGATTTGTGGTGCGCTCCCGGATGAACTTGCACGCAGAAAAGATATGACATGTGAATGGGCCCAAAGGCCGCCATCATTTGTGATCGCCAGTTGATCTTCTTGCGCAGACATGCTAGATTCACCTGATTTGTTGACAAATGAGTTGCGGATCTATTCCTTGGCAGCTTGTGGGTCCTTTACTGGGGTTTTTCCCCTTTGCAAAGAAACTTTTCTAAGACGCCTGTTTCTTACTCATTTTGCTAGCTTGTGGGTTACATTTTGGCGCTGAAGTGACCAAGATGTATCCGCGAGAATATGGTCATTTTTCAAAATAAAAGATTAAAAACAGAAATAATTAATGATTTCTTGTGTGGCCCGGTACCAGTTGATCCACAGACCAGTACCGGTCCCTGCCTCGGGAGTTGAGGACCACTGTACTATAATGCAAAAAAGCTAGATTTGTCTTTTATGAGAGCTGTTCCGATACAGATACTAGTATCTGAAATACTCACCGATACTGCAAACATTGGTATTGGTAAGCATTTGAAACTAAAAACCAACCTGATATCATCTCTTTAAACGAGACATGCACCTGTTAGCTTTGTTTAGCACTGCAAACACGGAGTCAGCTCTTCTTCCCTGCTCAGAGAGTGTAACACACTTTTTATTTAAAAAAATTTTTCCTAGTTTTACATTTCAAAGAGGTTATTTTCTGTATTTTTCATATTCATTTGCTTATTCATGCACTGAGTTTTATGCATTTATGCTATAAAACTATTTAGATTTTTTTTTATTTAATTTTTTTTTCAGTTCAGTCTTTGATTTGTAGCTAAACTTGTTTCAATATGTTGAATAACTGATAATAAATGACAGATAATAAAAATATTCTAGTTCACTGCATGTATTAGCTCATGTTTTATAAAGGTATCATTTTGAAACACACCGTAAATGAATTCTGTCAGTTTATACAGGACTAGTAGTATACACACGACTGTTTCTACAGATACACACTCGGTTATCGGCTCAGTGCTCTGTATTGCCAATACACTCAGCTCAGGTACCAGAGTCTGTATCGAAAAGTGAAAAATTGCTTAAAATCAATAGCAAATCATATTCATGGGAACAATGTACCATTCTGACATGCTTTTCTTCCTCATTTCTCCCTGGTTCAGAACATTGTAGCAGTGGGCGCAGGTTTCTGTGATGGTCTGCAGTGCGGAGACAACACCAAAGCGGCCGTTATTCGCCTGGGTTTGATGGAGATGATCGCTTTCGCCAAACTTTTCAGCAAAGACGACTCCGTGTCCTCTGCCACCTTCCTGGAGAGCTGCGGCGTGGCAGACCTCATCACCACCTGCTATGGAGGACGAAACCGACGCGTCGCAGAGGCTTTTGCCAAGACCGGGAAGGTAAAAAAGAAAAACCCATCCATTTCTGCATCTCCCTTCCTGTCTGACGACATGCAATGTGGAGTTTATGGATTGAAGGATGGCGCTGAATATTTGCCATATGATACGATCAATACAGACATGTTTTTTTGTTTTTTTTTTGCAGAGCATTGAGGAACTGGAGAAGGAGATGTTAAATGGACAAAAGCTTCAGGGACCGTTGACTTCTGCTGAGGTCTACCATATCCTCAAACAGAAGGGCCTGGTGGAGAAGTAAGTTTTTTGGTTATATATTTAAAATTATTCTGTATATACAGTTGATGTCAAAATTATTTGCTCTCCAGTTTCTTTTTTAAATATTTCCAAAATGATGTTTATCAGAGGGCTTCCAGAACATTTCAGACTGCAGTGACATTTCAGCCCGGAGCGTTCTGTGGGTTAAAGAACTCTCTCTGGGGCACAGTGTTCTTTGTCTAGATGCATTTGCAAAAACTGGTGAAATCTAAAATGTGCATTACTCCCCAGGTTCCCCCTGTTCACGGCTGTTTATCAGATCTGTTTTGAGGACAAACCAGTACGAGACATGATCACCTGTCTGCAGAGCCATCCAGAGCACTTGTGAGGAAAAAAACCTCAGTGTCCTCCTGTTAGGTGGTCCTACCTCTAATACTTCTCATTTTTACATTGATATACTCATGAATTGTTATACCTTAAAGGGATAGTTCACCCAAAATTGAGTTTAAGTAATTTTTCCCCACTCAGTAGAACATTAAAGTTGAACATCTACTGTTAGTGAGTCCAAAAAACCTATGCAGGGAAAACAAAAATAATACCCATGGTTCTGGACGATACAATGAGGTCTTACTAAGCAAAATGATTGGTTTCTGCAAGACATTAGCATTATTACATTTGACTCCAAATAGATATTTTGAAAAATGTTGAAGTTTGAACAGACGATGGTCACCATTGACTGCAAAAGTGTTGAAAAAAATACTATGAAAGTTAATTGTGACCATCGTCTGGAAGTGGAAGTATTTCAGATACTAGTATCTGTATCGGAACAGCTCTCATAAAAGACAAATCTAGCTTTTTAGCATTATAGTAAAGTGGTCCTCAACTCACGGGGCAGGGACCGGTACTGGTCTGTGGATCAACTGGTACCGGGCCACACAAGAAATCATTAATTATTTCTGTTTTTAATCTTTTATTTTGAAAAATGACCATATTCTCGCGGATACATCTTGGTCACTTCAGCGCCAAAATTTAACCCACAATAGTGACCAGTCGATTTAGTAGTAAACTTCTCATTTAATCCATCATAACGAGCCGCAGGTATTAATTTACTGTTACCTGTGTATGTTCTTTGACTCTCAAAGTGACAATGGAATTGACTTGCGTTTTATGAAACACCTTGATTTCAGCTGAAACCAGCTTGAATGTTCCACTAAAAATAAAAAAAGATGTGAAGGTTAATAAATTGGCAGAGAATTTTCCATTTTGGATGAACTATCCCTTTAAGCTTTTCTTTTCGTCCAAGGTCTAGGTCTACACTAATGGTTAGGCTTGAACTCAGGGGTTTGTTTCCAACCCAGCAGCTTTTGTTATTATTACATGACATTTTTTTAATAGGGGATCATGTGTTATTCCATTTAAGCCGTTATGCAGCTTTTAACTGTTTTCTCTCTGTCTGACTGCCCTCTTGTGGATGATCCACAATTAAACCTCACTGACAGACGAGATCAAATGGCTCTTTTTAAATGACCACTGAGATCTAACTATAAAGACTCGCACTCCATGTCCACATCAAGAGCAAAACGACACGACCAGAATGCCTCAATTATATTCGACCATCTTGTAGAACCAGCATTATACAACTTTCCTTAAGAAAACCTGAGAGTTTTTAATACTTAGTTTGACCCAAGGGCACAATTTAGGTATAAAACGAAGTAAACTATTCATATTTTCCATTTTAACGACTGTGTTGATGAATGCTAAACTGCCACTTAAAGGGTATTAACACATTAGATTAAAGGAACTCATTTTACAACTCCTCCACAGTTAAAACAGTTGAGTTTAAACATTTATAATTCAGCCAATCTCCGGGTCTGGCTTTTAGCTTAGCTTAGCATAAAGCATTGAATTAGATTAGACCATTAGCATCTCATGAAAAAAAAAAAGAGCTTTAATAATTTTCCTTTGTTTATTATGCCAAAAGGGGAGAAGACCAAACCCAGAGTTTGCCTGAAAGTGTTAAAAAATGGTAAAAACCAACTGTTTAGCTCTAGGGGAGATATTAAATTAGCCTATTTCTGAAAAAATAGTGCAGTGAACCTTTTAGTTTAAGTAGATTTCTATAATTGTGAAGATGCCTTTTAACTATTCATTAGTCTGGAGCATTTCTTAGACCGTTTAAATAACACTTGAACATACTTTTTTTTTTGGTTTGAGGTCGATTTATGAGGTGTTAAATGACAATCTATCCTAAAAATGGCCTCAAATCAATCATCTCAACCCATTTCAAAACATAAGTGCTTTCAAGACTTTTCAAGGAAACATGAGAACTTGTTACAGAATAACAATGTTATAGTTTTTATCGTGTTATGTTTAAAATAATACAGTGTCGCATATCTAGGCTTTACCAAAGCATTTCAGTCTTATTGGAAACCCCCCAATCTATTTAGTATCCTGTTAAACTGATTACATAACACAATAACCTACAAATTATTATTTTTACTACTCACATTTCTAATATTAGTATTAAAAATTCTTACATAATCTGTAGTTGTACTGTGAAGAACGAAGTAACGATTGACTAAGTTTTGTATTTTCAAATGAGAGACTGTTTTATGGGAAAAGTTAGTGTTTGGATCCATAATGGCCTTTTTTTAGCACTTTATTGTGCTTGTAGATCTATTAGATCCATAGCTAACACATAAAGACTAGCTCTTAGCATGTATCTGTTACAGTGTGTGTTTATATAAGAGTTTGAATCATACTACAAGTATTAAACTGTGCATACTGTATGTTGTACTGTGTGTAACACTCCGGTGGATGAACTATTTAAACATGTTCCATGTTTTTTTTTTTTTGGCAACCCGTCCTGTATAACATCAAAGCTGAACAATATTTCAAATGCTGCTTTAAGAAGAAACTAATAAAATGATATTGTGCAAAAATGTTTTAGTAATTATTTATGTTGGTTAAAACAGGATGTAAAATTTTACATGGAAGTTTTAAGATGTCACTTGCTCGATATTTTCTCTTTTCTAACCATTATCTGTAAACCCTAGAGATAGTTATGCTTGAAAATCTCAATGGATCAGTATTTATTAATAATAATACAATATAAAGTGGCTGGGATTGTATGTTAGTATATTAAAAAATATGTCTTGTGTTTTGATTCATTCATTTTTTTTCAGCTTAGTTCCTTTATTAATCTGGGGTCGCCACAGCGGAATGAACTGCCAACTTATCTAGCATTTGTATTACGCAGCAGATGCCCTTCCAGCTGCAACCCATCACTGTAAAACATATGTATTTTGGCATGTAGAAATATATATACTACCTGACAAAAGTCTTCTTGGCAATCCCAGTTGTAAGAGTAAAAAATAACTTGACTTCTAGTTGATCATTTGGAAAAGTGGCAGAAGGTAGATTTTTCCAATGAATCATCTATTGAAGCATCCCAATCATCACAAATACTGCAGAAAACCTATTGGAACCCACATGGACCCTAGATTCTCACTGAAATCTGTTTGGTGAAGGAAAAATCGCAGGGGCATGCGAGAGATCTGCAGAGTGGATGGCAACATCAACAGACTGAGGTATCAAGGCAAATTCTTCAGCAGGATAACGCTACTCATACTTCTCCACATCGAAGTTCCTGAAAGCAAAGAAGGTCAAGGTGCTCCAGGATTGGCTAGTCCAGTCACCACACATGATCATTATTGAGCATGTCTGGGGTAAGATGAAGAAGGAGGCATTGAAGATGAATCCAAAGAATCTGGATGAACTGTAGGAGTCCTGCAAGAATGCTTTCTTTGCCATTCAAGATGACTTTGTTATTACATTATTTGAGTCATTGCAAAGATGTATGGATGCAGTCCTCCAAGCTCATGGAAGTCAGACACAATATTCATTCTTTTTCCACTGCACATTGAGTTTATATTCTATAATGTACATTATTTCAGTTAAGTGACAAGACTCTTGACTAACCAGTCAGACCTTAATGTCCTAATTAAATAATTAAAAATCAAAGCATGATCATATTGTATTTTGGTAAATTAAGTGTAATCTAGAGGCCTTTGCCTTTCATAAGAGCCACCTCTGATACCAAATGATCAACAAGAAGTCAAGTTAATAATTGTTGTTCGTAATACTTGGTTAGGCGACAAGATATTTTTCAGGCCGTGAACAATGCTCAGCATAATTGAGTACACCCCATTTTGTAAACAAACATTTGTATCCATTTCTCAGTGAAATATATGTATGTAATATGTTTTGGTGCATTTGAACTAAACATATATTTATTAAAAAAAAAAGTTTTAGTTAAAAATATTGACAAAGTAACTTATGTATTTGTATAATGATGTCTCGGTGATCTATGTGCCAATCTTTTTTTTTTGTCCATAAAATATACATTTAATCAGCCTGGTAATTATGCCAAAGTACTCTTTCTTTTTCTTACCTAAACACTAACTTAAAATAAAAGCATTTTTTCAGAACTGCAAAACAATATGAATGGTGGTAAAAACATTTTATTCCCAAATGCATGTTTTCCCTGAATGTAACACAATGTGTAATAATAAAAACTCCAAAGTCCCAGAATCAGGGATTTTGGGTGCCATCTGCTTAAAAAAAAAAAAAAGAATAATAAAAGCAAATTTGCGCCGCTCCATTATAGAAGCCATATATGTACATCCTGTTGAACATTTTCAACGGGACAGTTTCATTTCTATGAAACATTAAAGAGCCTCTTTAAAATGTTGTCTATGTTCAATATTCCATCATATTTGCATGTCAGATTAACCCAATGTTTGGTTCACACACCCATCAAAATATATCATTAATGATCAAATGTGTATAATGTATAATTAATGTAAAAGAGGCTCATAATGACTCGTATGTTTAACAAAACGCTTTAACAAATAAGCTGCATGAATTCACTTCCACAAACATCTATTTACATGTATTAACATCTACACACGAAATAGTTTTTTTAAAAAGCAGATTGGTCTTTGCAATCTGACTCAGAGAAACCGCAGACAAACTAGTCTTCCTCATCATCATCATCACCTCCAAATGATAGCAGACTGCTGTTCTTCACTTTCACGCCAGCTTTAGGCTCTTTCTTCTCACCATCCTCGCTTTTCTTCTTCTTGCTAGAGCTGGCAGTAATGCCTTCGAATTTATCAGACGAGCGCTTGACAGGCTTCTTAAAGACGATCTTTCCATCAGATGGAGGCTGTTCATCTGGAGAAAATAAAAGCATTTACTTTAATCAGTGACTTCATATTGAAGACTGCTATATTAGTTTTTTTTTTTAACTTGCATCATAACTCACAGAAATTCAGTGACAACTTGTGACATGCTCACTATATTGTTTCCCATGATACTTTGAATATTCTGCCTGAAATCAGGTAATACGACTTCAAAACAACATTAGCACTATTTATTTGACTGTGAACAATCTTGTATTTTGATAGTCATTCCAGATCGCAGCAGCACGAGTGGTCTTTAATGAACCTAAAAGAGCACATGTCACTCCGCTACTCACCCATTTGCACTGGCTGCCAGTTGCTGCTCGCATCAAATTCAAAGCTCTGATGTTTGCCTACCAAGCCACCTCTGGCTCTGCTCCTTCTTATCTGCTCTCACTTCTGCAGATTTATGTGCCCTCCAGAAACTTGCGTTCAGTGAATAAATGTCGCCTCGTGGTTCCATCCCAAAGAGGGAAGAAATCACTTTCCTGAACTCTCGCATTTAATCTGCCCAGTTGGTGGAATGAACTCCCTAACTGCATCAGAACGGCAAAGTCACTTGCTGTCTTCAAGAAATGACTAAAAACTCAACTATTTAGTATATACTTCACTTCCTAATCTGCAATTGCTTCTCTGGCTATACCATTAACTGTACTCCAAAAAAAAAAAAAAAAAAAAAAACAACAACTTGCATTGCCAACGCTTTCCTTCTTAGACTTTACACACCTGAAACGTGTCTACCGCACTTATTCATTGTTGCTCTTATAGTTGTGTAAGTTGCTTCCTTGTCCTCATTTGTAAGTCGTTTGGATAAAAGCGTCTGCTAAATGACTAAATGTAAATGTAATTTGGTTTCACTATTTAGAATTTGCAAAGAATGCTTTTCTGAAAATGCAATTATTAATATTATTAAGGAGAAAGTCCGAATGTGTGAACATGAAACCAACTTTACCTCCGTGTAGGCTACCATTGCATTACCTGTGTTTTCCTCCTTTGAATCTTTTTTCATCTTCATAACCTCTTCAGCACTCAGATCCCCCTTTTTGAGGACCACAACCTGCGGCATTTCATCTTCTCGGTCACTGTCCCCGCTGTCATCATCACACTGTGGCATCTGCTCCTTCTGCAAAAAAACAAGATTTACTTCATCATTTCATTGTGTAAATAAAAATGACGGACGTGGCAGAGTCTGGAGACACCATAGAAAATGTTCTGCTGCCTAACATCCTCCAGCATGATCGGTTTCGCAGTGGGTCAGTAATAGAGTGGGGTGGCATTTCTTTGGAGGGCCCTAACCCTCCATGCGCTCGCAGAAAGTAGCATGACTGCCATTAGGTACCGATATGAGTTCCTCAGACCCCTTGTGAGACCATTGCCGGTGCAGTTGGCCCTGAATTCCTCTTAACGCAAGACAATGCTAGACCTCCTGTGGCTGGAGTGTGTCAGCAGTTCCTGCAAGACGAAGACATTGATACTGTGGACTGGCCCAGCCGTTCCCCAGATCTAAATCCAATTATCCCTCCGTAGATCATCCACCACCTTACCAGGAGCATGCCCAGGGGTTGTAGGGAGGTCATACAGCCATGTGGACACCACACACACTACTGAGTCTCATTTTGATTTGTTTTAAGGACATTGCATCCAAGTTAAATCAGTCTGTTATGCGTTTTTTTTTTTTTTTACTAATTTTGAGCGTGACTCTAAATTCAGACCTCCTTGTTTTAATAAATTTGATTTCCACTGATGGGCTGCACGATGGCTCAGTGGGTAGCATGATCGCCTCACAGCAAGAAGGTCACCGGTTCGAGCCTCAGCTGGGTCAGTTGCTGTTTCTGTGTGGAGTTTGCATGTTCCTTCCGTGATCGTATGGGTTTCCTCTGAGTGCTCCAGTTTCCCCCACAAGACCAAAGACATGAATTGGGTAAGCTAAATTATTGTGTTTCCTTTGTGCCAAAATTCCCTTGCCTGCCTCCTGCTTTTTCCCAATTGTCTTCGTCTACTCTCATTACCCACATGTTCAGGAAAATAAGCATTGTTGAACTAATTATGTTGTCTGTTGATGTCAGCCTGATAGTTTTTTCCTGTTTTGTACTGTCAGATTCTCTGAGGTATTCTGTCATCTGATCTGTTGTCCTTATTGTTGTCTATTCATCTTTACTGTCATTCTTACTGTTATATATGCTGTCGTCCTTATGGTCATCTGTTCTATCATCATTACCCTCAGCATTTGATGACAGCATAAACGACAGTAAGAATGACAGTATAAACGACAGCATAGACGACAGATGAAAGTATAAATGACGACAGCATAGACGACGGTAAGGATGACATTAAAGATGAACAGACAACAATAAGAACAGATCAGATCAGAAAAAAAACCGTCAGGACGACAGATTAAGACATCAACCAACCAAACGAGTTGGGCAATGAGTAGACGAAGACAAATGGGAAATACAAAGCAGAAAGCAGGCAAGGGAATTTTGGCACATAGAACCCCATACTAAATTGGCCGTGGTATACGTGTGTGAATGAATGTGTATGGATGTTTCCAAGTGATGAGTTGCAGCTTAAACGAACATTTCATTCATTCAGAATCAGATCTAGGACGTGTTATTTTAGTGCTTTCCTTTCATTTTCTTGAGCAGTGTTTATCTAATAGAGGTTGTTTGAAAAACAAGTGAGCTGCCGTACAGGACAATTCGGAGACATGCATTTATTTTACTCATCTTTTTACTCAACATTTATACATCTTCCTATTTTATTTTGGTCCACTCCAGTGAGTACTACTGAGGTGCGATCAAACTGACTAGAAAAAACACTTACTTTGGTCTCCACTGTCGGCCCTTCTTTGAAACCAACATCATTCTTGAATTTCTTCAGGAAAGATGGTTCGGCTGGCTTCACCCATGATACGTTGCCCTTTTTGCTCATTGTGCCTTAGTTAAAATCAGCCTGATAAACTGTAAATGCGCTTAATGTTTCGCAAACACTGGACAGTAAACACACAAGGACCTAGCGTGGAAAGTTAGCGTCATCGATATGCGTCTGTTACTGACCAATCAGCGCACACACTCGTTATTTCTACATTGAGAGGCCACTGTTACAGGATTCCACTTTCCATTACGTATATTTCCTGAAGGGGCGCTTGGAGGCCCATAAAGACGAGTTTTCTAAAAATCCATGTTCATATCACTGCCATTTGTACACTACTAGAACATCCACTACAACATATTAAGTAAACGTATCAATTTGAATGATATTATTTGTGATACAAATACAAGTTTTTGTACGTAGAGCATAAGACGTACTTTTAAATTACTTTGATTGGTCCGTTGTAAACAGCATTGAGAAAAGTAACAGGTACCACATGACACTAATATATTTAGTAGTGGTTTAAATACAATTTTAACACAATAAAGTTAAACATTTTTAAAAAGCAGTTAAACAATACATTTCTATGTATTTTGCAGTTCACCGGTTAAATATGAAACGTTAGTGGCGTTAAAGTCCCGCCTATATAACGACGCCGTGATTCGTGTCGATTGCCAATCCTGTTTGTTCTATTTCTGTGATTCGCAGTAGGAAGTTTCATTATTAATTTATATGTCTTAAAATGTAAAAGATGGTGGTCAAATAATGATGTTAACGTAGCCCGCTCTTAGTGAGTCGGTAAGACCGAGCTGGAAAGATGTTGCCTGGCGTGTTTTATGCGCTAATGGCGGGGTTTTTGGCAGCTTTAGCTTCATCTTCTGCTAAGTTGTCACTTGGTGCTGATTATCTGAAAGATGTGTGTGAAACAGGACTGAAGATCTGGACAGACAGACAGGGAAACTCTGACGATGCTACAGCTTGTGACTGGGTAAGACGTTGTCTATTCTACCAGAAACGTACATTAGCTGTCCCTGAAATAAAAACAAATACAGTGAATAAAAAGTATTTCATCCCCAAGATGTCTAAAATGGACTAATGGTTGATTTCTGGGAGTTGTTCTGTAAAGGATTGTGTCATTCATTTAGTTCTTAGATTGTTTTTCTTTATTTTAACACTTTACAAAGGTAAAAACACTGTCATTGTCCTTGTCCTCAGCCCATTTGAACTGACAGCTTTAATAGTTTTGTTATTCTAAAACTGTTATTTAGAAAAAAAACAAAACTTTAGGTTTAGGTTGTTATCATTCTCACCAATTGAATAAAAACATGAAATTATATATACATTCTACACATAAATACTACAATTATATAATTCAAATACATTTACAATTGTGCCCATGTTTTTGTCAGTCCTGTCTCATTATAACTCGGAAGTGACATCATTTGATGGAGGAGAAGCTGACAGTGATCAAGGATGCTTTCCATTATTGAATTACATGATTTTATGCTTGTGATTGATCACAGTTGCATATACCTTTGCGGCTGCTGTGTGGAGGTCTTCTGTTTACCTGCAATGCTGTGATGTGGACCTTCTTCTCCAAAGCCCTCCGGCACTCGTCTTCCTCTGCCCGGGCCACTGTGACCACCACTGCCTCAAATTTTATATCCTCTGTGAGTTAAGCTTATTTTTTTTCCCTCAAACCTTCAAGTTTATCTGCAAAACTAATTACTTTACTGAATCCTATAAATCTCTAAAACCTTTCAGCCAGAACACATAAAATATTTTAAATGAAATCTGCACAATGGCTAAGTGGTTAGCACTGTCGCCACACAGCAACAAAGTTTCTGTTTCGAGTCTTGGCTGAAGCAGGAGGCCTTTCTGTGTGAAGTTTGAATGTTCTCTCCATGGGTTGCATGGGTTTTCTCTGGGTGATCCAGTTTCCCCCCACAGTCCAGAGACTGCAAAATAAATATGCTAAAGTAATTTCTGGCTTATTTCGCTGTGACAACCCTTGATAAATGGAGTGAGTAAATCCATTCAGTCAAATATTGGTTCTGGACAGAGTACTTTTAGCTTAGCTTAGCATAGATCATTGAATCGGATTAAAGCATTAAAGACCATTTTGATAATTTTCCTATTTAAAGCTTGACTCTTCTGTATTAAATCATGTACTAAGACCGACAGAAAATGAAATTTGTGACATGTTTGAGCGAGATGCTAATGGTTTAATCCAATTCAATGTTTTATGCTAAGCTAAGATATAAATGCCTCCACCAGACCAAAAGATTGGCTGAATGGATTAAAAAAAATGCTAAAACTCAAATTTTTACAGTTTTTGCCCAATTGTTTACACACATTTTCTGAAAGCATGTCTCATATTGTCAGAACTCTACACACAAAACACACACACACACATTGGGCAAAACCTTTCAAGTCTTCCGCAAAATGAAACTCTGCTTTCAAAACGACGTGATTTCTTCTCAATGTGGTGTTTTGTTTTCAAATGACACACACAAGCCATCACATGGATAGACATTTATAAGAACTTCTTGATCACTGATATGTTTAATGTTAAACACTATGACTACTTCTCCATTCATCATAATGACTCACTGTAAGCCTTATTTTGTTCAGTGTTACACTAACTACAGACATACATAGGCCTACAGAAGTGCATTGTAAAATATTTCAGAATATTGTTTTTATACAAAACACACAATTAATAAATATATTTTACTGTATTTTTCCCACAAAAACAGTGTACACAGTGTTCATCAACCAACACAAAGTTGCACACAATGTGGTCTACATATATACCATCAACAGAAGTATTTCCTGAATACGGTTACATAAAAAAATAAAATAAAATAAAACCCCAAAAAACAGCTATACTGCATCCTCTTTTCTGTTTTGGTCTGGCCAAGCAGTGGGGGAAATGTCACCTTGCATGGTGGATCCAGCCATGAAAAGCATCCACTGCTATAGCTTGGGGAAGGAGTATATGTGTGTGTGTGTGTTTGTGTGTGTGTGTGTGTGTGTGTGTGTGTGTGTGTGGATTTCGGTCGTACACATTTCATCCCTCAATTGGTTTGATGAATGGAGATTATGGAGGGAGATAAACAACTAAAAAACATGGGTGGGCAGTGAACCAGTTATGAACCAGATGAGCTTTGATTTCTAATTTGCAATTCTGTGTGACAGGTGTGATGAGTTCGTATGCTGAGTAAGTAGGGCAACTGACTTTACAATTTTGAATGACAGTGTGTTCCTTGTGAAAACAAGAGATTTACTGCATGAAAATTGTGCCAAATGCAGCTAATTGTGTGTAGTGTTTTTTTAAAAAGTGTGTTTGAAACCTGCAATTTGAGTGTAAAGTAGGAATTGTGCTTGTAGTTTAGCAGAATTGGTTCAGGGGGTAGGTGCATCAGTTACATGTTCTAGTCATTGTGTCTGAAGTACAAGTAATTGTGTGTAAACAATTGGGAAAAGCTGTAACTCTATGGGACTTGTAAAATGAGCCTATTTCCAAACAATATACATTAAAAAAAAGTTGAGTATTTCTTTAATGTTCCAAACATGGGCATATTCCATAAGGATATAATTAAACATGAGGGAAAGCAACTGATGACTAAATGATTATTTATCTGTTAGCTAACCCTTGAATAATTCTTAATGGGTTTTTATTTTCTAGGCTTTCCTTGGACATGTGATCTTCGGTGAAACTCATGCCACACTGTGGTGGGTTGGTATCATTTTGACCCTGACCGGGCTTTTTGTCTTGCATGGATCAACTCCTCAGGCTCCACAGGAAAACGTGGATAAGAAACATGAGTAGATAACACAGGGAGCAACAATGCCTTATCAAATGCTTGAAGTCAATCAACCAAGTCAGACAGCATGAAAGATAAGCACTTAAAGCTAATAAGGATTTTTTATGCAAGACTGCGGTACAAGTATCTTTTATAAGAGCATTGCGGTTCATTTATTAATGTGAGTTTTAGTCATGTGAATGTTGACACGATGCAAAGCTTCTAAATGTGTCTCACTTTGTGCCTGTAGTCAGTAGGTTACTTCAAACTGTGACATGAGATGTTTATATTTTATTCTTATCATTTTTTTTTTATTTGGTGGGGAGTTGTTGTTGGTTAATAGACCAAATACTATAAAATACTTGTTTAAGCTTTGGAATTAAAACAATTGAAGAAAGATAATTGTGAATTTTATCTCATAATTTGGATTTCCATTTTAAAGTTGAGAGTTTATTTTGTAATTTCAAGACTGTAAAGATTGTAACATTGTGCAAGTTAATAATTAACACATCATAATTTTAGGTTACTGTGAGGAAAAACTGAACTCACAATTGCAAGAAATAAAAGTAGGGTTCTAAGAAAAAACAAAACAAAATCCGTGAGATATAAATGCAGAAGTCTGCCTCTTTTTCTTGCGATTCATTTTTCTCTGAATTGTTTGTCTTGCAGTTTTCATCATTTTCTATGAAATAAGAAACAAAAGCAAACCTTGAATTGTGAAATAAAGTTTCAATATTTTTTGTATAATATTCAATTTTTTTTGTATAATCCTGTGGCAGAAACAGGCTTCCATAGCTGTGAATCACAATTGAGAAATCTTTTACCTACAAGCTTGAGATTTTAAAAGTCTTCTGGAGTAAATCGATTTGAATAAACATTCAATCATTCATTCACTTTCCTTTGGCTTAGTCCCTTATTTGAAGAGTTCACACTTAGCTTATGATTGATTACAAAGCATGTTTGAAAAGCTGTCCAGGAAGAAAGCCCTGAGCTCATAAGATCCTCGTGCCCTGGGCTCCCTCCCATTGCAAGGCGAGAGGGGAGTTTGAGCTCAGGTAGATCTCGAGAACTTCCTTGTCGTAGTAGCTGATGAACAGATAGTGATGCTCTTAAGAGATAACTTGCTAGGAGCATGTCTTTGGTGCCGATTTGGAATAGTCAGTTAACTTAAGTTGCATGTTCTTGGACGGTGGGAGGAAACCGGGGAACCCGTGGGAAACCCAGGTGAGCACGGGGAGAACGTCAGCTGGATTTGTAAGGACTAGAACCAGTGACGTTCTTGCTGTGAGGCAACAGTGCTGTCCACTGGGCCAACGTGCCACCCGTCTAAGATAGGTGGAGGATTCAATTTATTTTGCCAATTCACCTATAGCGCATGTATTTAGACTGTGGGGGAAACTGGAGCAGGCGGAGGAAACACAAGGGAGAGAACATGCAAACTCCACACATAAATGCCAACTGACAAAATCAATGTCCATTGAGATGATCCTCTTTTCCTTTTCTTGGATGTGTTTAAAATAATAAGAATACTTCCATAGTAGAAATATAAGGCTCTGGCCTTCCATCTTCGCTTCTGTTTGCCTATTCTCTTATTGAGTGTGATTCAACATGACTACATTCATTTAAATTTAGAAATGTATTTTTTAAAAGGTTATTCATTAAAGAGTAACTCGCATTATAATTTCTTAAAAAAGTAACTCATTCATTCATTCGTTTTCTTTTCGGCTTAGTCCCTTTATTAATCTGGGGTCGCCATAGCAGAATGAACCGCCAACCTATCCAGCATATGTTTTATGCAGCGGATGCCCTTCCAGCTGCAACCCATCGCTGGGAAACATCCATACACACCCATTCACACACATACACTACAGATATTTTAGCCAACCCAATTCACCTGTACCACATGTCTTTGGACTATTGGGAGAAACCGGAGCACCAGGAGGAAACCCACGCAAATATGGGGAGAAAAGTAACACAAATATTTACAATAACACTGTGCCGCCATTTTCAATCACACATACAAGAGAAAAAAAAGCATTTTATTTTTCTAGAAGTTGTTTTGTTACAGTACACTGGCAGTTCAACATTTAACAATATTTAACAAAATTAACAATATCCCTATCAAATAGCACATAATATGTCTCTTTTTTGGCATAAACTCTTTTACATCATATTATATCTGATGAGGTTTTTCATTTAGGTTCTTTTTAGTTCAGTTGCGTGTCATTTTCAGTAAACCACTGACCTGAAATCTATTTCAGAGGGGGAACACCACCACAAAAGCAGCATCTGCTGAGCACTGCATGACATTAAAATGTATTCTGCTCTGAAATCACATCAGAAAATGAACCTGATACTATGTGTGTATATTAAAGTCCGCCTTGCTACTTAAACGGTTTTATTTAAACTATGGACTTTGTAGAAAAACAACATATTTATTTCAAGAAAATTTAATGGAAGTTGTGCAGAGTAACATCAGATAATGGAAAAAAAAAACAAAATATGACAAACAACAATAATGGAGCCTGTAATGGAAAGATACGCTGTTAGAAAATGTGTAAAAGCACAAGTTCAGTCAAATCTTACAGCAGATCCTCAATGCATTTTTGATAAATAGGGCCTTTGGGAAAGACTCAATAGGTTTACAAATGAGCACCATATTATAATCAGTTCTTCACTTGGATTTGCATAGTAATTAAATTATCCTTGTTTCGTAGCGTTTTAGGACATTAGGAGGCCTTTACCCAGGTAGCAAAAAATTCTGGCCCAGATACTAATAATTGATATGTGGGCATGTAAGTTTGGCTTATCTTTTCCCACATTTAAAATACATTTTTATTATTTTTAAATAAAGAATAAAATTCTACCTTACAGAAAAAGCAGCCCTATAGCCCGCCTAAAACGCAATGATTCATGAGTTTATCGATTTCATTGCAGTCGTGACACACCAACATGTCTGGCCCAGTTCAGGCTCAGTTATGGGTTTTTAACTTGGCTGAGACTTGGCCCAGATATGTTTGGCCCTTGTCTGGAAGCCAGACTGGGTCCAGTCATGTACCGAAATTCACTGCGGCATATGGGCCAAGCAAAAGCTGATTAAGTGGGCCAGAAATATTTTGCTATGAGGGTAGTTAATTAAAGGGATAGTTTAGCCAAAAATGAGCCAACATGTACACCCCCTCATATTGTTATAACACCATATTTTGTCCTTGTCATAACACAAACTGAGAAAGTAATATTTATTTTTTCAATCATTTTCTTTTCGGCTTAGTCCCTTAATTAATCATAAGTCGCCACAACGGAATGAACCGCTCACTTATCCAGCATATGTTTTACACAGCGGATGCCCTTCCAGCTGCCTTTCACTGGGAAAGTAAGTAATATGATTAATTAAAATGAATTTAAAAGCAACTTAATTAAAGTAATGATCAGCATTAATCTTTAAAAATGGTTGTTTTTTGTCATTTCTATTTATCTTGATTCTGTTTACGGGTGAGTTGCTGTAAATTCCAGCACTAGCAGTTGAATGAATGTGTGGTCATGCACAAAGACAAATGCTCAAAGTCAGATTTTTCATTATATAATATAATAAACTGTGGTATGTGTTTTCATCTGAACCTCATGTAATTCACGGGATCATTTTTAAAGACGCTGAATGCAAATTATTACCAATATGTAAATGTTTCCATTGTTGATGCGGGGAAAAAAATGACACAAACAAAACCAGCATGAGAAAATAATGACAGATTTTCAATTATGGGGTAAAGTATTCGTGTAAGCCAGTATTAAAAATATGGAGAAGAAAAAAAAAATGTGACCACTTAAAATTTTTCAAGCAGTGGTCTTAGACTCAATTCCTGGAGGGCCACAGCTCTGCAGATTAGTTCCAACAACCTCCAACTCACAACTGCTTAATAGTCCATACTCGGTCTTGGAGAGCCAGTGACCTGGAGAGTTTAGCTCCAACCCTAATCAAATACACCTGAACAAGCTAATCAAGCTCTTAGGGATAGTAGAAATTTCCAGGCAGATGTGTTGAAGCAAGTTGGAGCTGAAGTCAGCAGGACACCGGCCCTCCAGGACTGACTTTGGACACCCCTGCAAAAGGAACTACATAAAAATAGGCTAATTTTATAACTCCCTTGGAGTTAAACAGATGAATTTTACCATTTTTGAAGTTGGATCTGGCGGGAGCACTTTTAGCGTAGCTTAGCATAAATAATTGAATTAGATTAGACCATTAGGATTTTGCTCAAATAAAAAAAAAGTTGATGACAAATGAGTAGTGTAGTTTTGGCCTATTCTTAGACGTCTATTAGATTTTCACTGACAGCCCAAATTTAGCCTTGTTTTAGCCAAGACGACTATGTTTAAGACATCCATTAGACATCTTTTAAAAACAAGAAATGCTTAATGGTTAGTGACCAATTGGAAAGGATTTACTTACAGTTACCTAAAACAAAATCTTTAAGATTCTATAACTGATCAGATTAACCCAACTAAAGACCACTGCTATTTGCTAATAATCTGGGATTAAAACATATGTTCCAACTCAAAACCATTTTTAAAACTGCATGTCTGTAATAAAGACAGTAAAATCACTATGTAATTCTTAACTGCTATGATCACTACGACTGCATGGTGTCAGTAAACGCGCATGTGTTTGTGTGAGACTCATCATTTCAGAAAGGCTTGAATAAACTCCATCCCAAATATATAAAATAAACTTGATATTTTTGACTAATGAGCTGTATGTCAGCTTCATCCCAGTCTGTCTCTGTCCCTGGCTGCTGTTTATCTGATGTAAAACATGATGAGAAGCTAACACACATGGGAGCGGTGGGCAGGGAGAAGCAGCTCATTCGAATTTAAAGCCACAGGCTAAAAAACAGCTACAGTATGCTCAGATACTAAAATGAGCAGATTCTGTACACTATAATTAATAATCTGATGGGCATTTTGAGCTGAAATTTTACAGGCACATTCTGAAGACAACAAAAGCTTATTTTACATCTTGTAAAAGAGGTAAAATAGGTGTCCTGTAAAATGAATATTATCAAAACTCTCTTTTTTTATGGGAATGCTATTGGTCAAATCCAATTTATGCTAATCTATGTTAAAAGTGCTTCTGGGGTAAATGGTAAAAACTTAACTATAGAGGCCTATATTATTAGACTATAGAACTTTTGTTATTTTTACCAGTCTCCAAAAAAGACAAAATGGTTTATTTGAAATTAGGAAGACATAATATCAGCCCTTTATGAAATTAAACAAATATAAACAGTTTAGTCAAACACATAACAAGAAAACCCAGAGAAGCTCAGAGTGTCTTGTTTTTTTCTTTTTCTCCACAGCTGCATATTAAACAGAGATAAACTAAAAATCCAGCAAACAATTTAGTGTTTAATAGACGTCTAAACCGATATCTAAACGTAGACGGCTTGGCTAGACCAGTCGTCAAATAGACAGATTAGATTGCAGATTAGTTTTGGCCTATTCTTAAACGTCTATTAAATTTTGACTGACAGCCCCAATTTAGCCTTGTTTTAGCCAAGATGACTATGTTTAGATGTCTATCAGACATCTATTAGACATCTTTTAAAAACAACAAAAAGAAAATGCTTGCTGGGTAGTGTTCGATAGGAAAGGATTCACTTAGTTACCAAAAACTTTAAGATTCTAGACTCAACTGATCAGATTAACCCAACTAAAGACATCACTGCTCCAGGAACAGTGCATATAATCAAACATGTCACAGTACATGAGCTCAGTCTCTATGCATAAGTTAATCTTAAGAAGAGCGTTATGTGTTTTTGGTTGTAAATACTGCTTTAAGGCACTTTGGTAAAGTACATAGATGTTATTTCTATGGGTAAAATTCAAAATGTTCACA